ACATAAATATAAGAATATGATAGAGATTTAATTTAAAAACATTTAGAATATTAAGTTTGCTAAAAAGTATTTTTGTATGAGAGAAGCAATTTTCATTTATAATAATCCTAATGGCATGTTTTTGTTTGTAGAGAAGTTTACTTAGTTTTGTAACATTGGTGCTGCACAAAGCAATGTTAGCATAGTTTACATAGTTTAGGTGTATAAATGAATAGTATATGTATTTAAGACAAGATTGGTTTAAGAACTGTTTAGCTTTACACAGTATTCCAATATTTTTAGAAAATTTATTCTCAGTTACACTTATATGTTCTCTCCAGGTAATATTTTCATCGAGAATTACGCCTAAAAATTTTAGAGACATTTCCCTTTTTATTATATTTTTATCAATAAATAGATTTGGAAGTTTCAATGGAATATTTTCTTTTTTATGAACATGATGGAATAATGTGCATTTGGTTTTAGCAATGTTTAAGGATAATTTATTGGATTTAAACCATTGGGTTAGTTTATCAATTACTTTGTTAACTATTAAGAATAAAATATTAATGTCTTTATGAAAATAAAATAAATTAGTGTCATCGGCTAATAAAATTGTGTTTAAAATATTAGAAAATTTATACAAGTCATTGACATAAATTAAACAAATTGACATAAAATAAACAAAAAGGGGTCGGATTTTGGGCCGGATTTGTAAAAATGGCAGGATTTCGGCTGGAGCAGGAGCCAGAGCCGAAATTCGGTACAGCCCTAATATATATATATATATATATATATATATATATATATATATATATATATATATATATATATATATATATATATATATATACATATATATATATATATATATATATATATATATATATATATATATATATATATATATATATATATATATATATATTTATATATATACATAAAAAGCCATATATATACACAAAAGCCATAAAAATCTAAAAAAAATGAAAAACTAGTAAAAAAGTTTTATCTTAAACAAAAACAACACAGGTTAATAATTATAAAAATTAAAATAAAATTATTTCTCAAACTTAAAAACTTGCTCAAACAGAAAGTGAGTAGTGTTTATCTGTAAAATTTAATATTTGAATCAGTTTTGTATTATATTATATTATATTTTATAAATACATATACTAGAACTAAAAATAAGTTTTATTTGGTAGTCATATGGTTAAAATGATTCCTGTATAAAGAAATACATTTCAGTGTAATAATTATTGCTCTGTTATAATTACTAATTATAAATAATTATTACTCTAATTCAAATTAGTTTAAAATAAATTATCTTTAGTTGTTGATTTTTTTAAGTTTTGAGTTATGTTTTCTTATTGTATAGTATAATATATACACATAACAATTTTGACATATAATACAATATATACATATAATATAAATAAAACAAGTAGCTTCAAAAACTCATTGCTGATTGTAATCATGGATTAATTTTACTTTATATAACAAAGGTGGTTTATTAATTTACTGTAGTGAATAATATTTTTCAACAAGATTTAAAATTTTTTTAAACTAGTTAAATTGCATATAACTTTTTTTTTTTTTTTTACTTTTTAAGAAACTGGACCTTTTGGATCAACCAGGACCAGGTTTTGTGCTGGTTGTAAACTTTAGTAAGTTAGATGAAGGCAGTGTAACTGTTATAAAAGTTGATGGGAATGATGAAATGTTTGAAGTACCTCAACCAGGCATCAATAATGAGTTTAATGTGAAAGTATTTGCTACCAATGATTATGGTTCAAATTTGGAAAACAAGGAGTTTCATTTTAAGTCTGGAGGAAAAGGTCTGATTATTTTATTGATGGAAACTTGCAATATCAAAAAAATTGTGAGTTTTACTTTTTTTTGTAATCTGGGTACCAGGTTTTAGATATTGTCATGAAATAAGTTATTATTAAATCCCAGTACTATTAACAAATAATAACTTGTTTCTTACTAATAATTTTTTTTTTTTCATTTTATAAATCAGCTCCTGAAGGTATTGTCAGTAATCTTCGACAACTTTCTGTTTCACACTGTTGTGTTGATTTGGCATGGGATGTTATACCATCTGTTACAGGATACAGAGTAAGTCAAATAAATGTTTAATTATAAACATTTTCACATTTTTTAATGTAATTTTTAATGCATTTTCATATAATAGTATTTATAATAAAAACTTTGAGAGGAAGATCAAAACCTTTTTTTTATATGTTTTTATTATAAAAACATAGAGTATATTTGTTTGTTTGTCTGTGGACATTTTTGTTTTTCAAATTAAACTCAAAAACTATATTGCATAGAGAAAAAAAGTAACAAATGAACTTTGTTTTTAATCAATCTGAAAAAGATCTTAGCAAAAAAAATTTAGGAAAATTTTTCAATTTTATTTGATGTTTATTGACTTCTAATTAAATTAACTTAAGCAACTTTTAATTTAATATTGCAAAAATCAGGTAATATATTTAATTAAAGTTTATTATCTTTAAATTAAGTTGTTTTTTAATTTTGCAACTTTTGTTTTTACATTACTTAAATTAACGTAATATATTTTATTTAAACTTATTTAAAACATTGTATATCATATTTTATTTATAGACATGTAGCGGCTATATGTTTATTTAGTAGCTATGTTGCAGGCCACAAACTATGTAGTAGCTAGTTATGTAGTAGGTATTAGCGGGCTATGTAGTAGGTTATTTATTAGCAGGTTATGTAATCACATGTTGATTTTATAACATGTTGATTATTTTATTGATGGAAATTTGCAATATCAAAAAAATTATGAGTTTTACTTTTTTGTAATCTGGGTACAAGGTTTTTGATATTGTCATGAAATGAGTTATTATTTCTAGTTAAAGCCTAGTGCTATTAACAAATAACAAATCCCATTCCAAATAACAGGTTATGTAGTAACATGTTGTATAATATAATAATTTTTTAAAAGTGTTTATATTTAAATTTAGATTTTTTATAAAGTTAATGTTCAATCAAGATATCGTCGCAATCTAGCAGTTAGTAGTTGGACTGATGTGACCACAAATAATATAACATTACTTAGTTTAATGGCTGCAACAGAATACGAAATTACTGTTAGTGCTTTAAATGAACAAGTTGCTGGAACTCCTTGTCAACCAATAGTTGTCAAAACTTCACAAAAGATTTTGGAATGTTAGTGTTTACTTTTTTGATTATTTAATTGAGCTAAAAAAGTAAGGTTAAAAGGAAGGGGGGTCTGTATTCAATAATTTTTCTTTTAAGATATTGATATGCCAAGAAATGGTAGAGTTAGTATTTTTGGAAGTGTTGTTTATTTAACTTGGGATCCTCCTATTGTTATTGATCCCATTGAAGTACTTACAGCTTATCAAGTTACATATTATAAGTATGACAATCCTTCTGAAAAGATAAATAAAAAATTGAATGGCGATTCAACAGAAGTTTACATTTACGATTTGGAAAGGTTAAATTACTATACTTTTGAGGTTACTGCAGTTACCGAAACAAGACAAGGAAAGCCCTGGGTAGTTAAAGGTGTTTCTGTTACATACCCTGATGGTGAGTTTGTAAAAAATCTTTTTTATCTAAAGAAATAAAATATATTTAATAAAAGTTATATTTTGATATCAATTATAGTTCCGGGTCAACCAGCTATGCCTGATGTTGTTGTTGTAAATAAAACATTTCTAAATATCACATTTAAATTACCAAATAACTATGAAGGAGACCTTCCAAATCATTATCATATCTACTATATACAAGATGGTAAATTTTTTTCTTTAATAAGTTTAATTACATATATGTATATATATATATATATATATATATATATATATATATATATATATATATATATATATATATATATATATATATATATATATATATATATATATATATATATATATCTGTGTGTGTGTATATACAACCCTTGGAATCAAGAAAAATGAGGTCAGCAATAAATAATTGCTGACCTCAAACACCTTCAGATTGAGAGTTAAGTCAGCATTGTTGAATGCCGATCCTAATTCTGAGGGTTGATATATTTATATTTCCGTATTTATTTATGCATACATACATATATATGTATGTATATATATTTAATATATATATATATATATTTTTACGGAAGTGCTATTTGATGCACTACAAAATATACAAAATTGCTATTTTAGGTCGAAAAAAAAAATTACTTTGTGAGGAGGAAGCGGAACTGCTTCACAATACCGCTGAAATGTTTAGCGAGTGGGCTTTACAATTTTAATTGGTATCTAAAACAGAAAAAGTAACTTTAAGTTTAAATGTAACGAGTTTGTAAGAATGACTGAAGCAAAAATAATTTAGTATAAATAATTTAGTAAACCAATTTCTAAGAACTTAAAAACTTTTCTTTTTTGGGGGAAAAAACCAGTTATCGGGTACACTAAGGAAAATAAATTAGCGGTTAAAGTTTTTTTGGGCAGACGTGTATTTCAGGCAGAATTAAAAAAAATAGTTCGTTTAATAGTATATTCTTAAAACAATTTAGGCTATTTTTTGAATACTCTAGAAATTTTGGTTAGTATTTTTTAAACCAATAGAATTAGTTGTTTGTAGATTTGGCGGGATTTTTGTGTTTGCGAATATTCTTTTTTTATTTTTCCGCACAGACCATCAAGTTTATGTATCTTTCCATGTATGTCCGCAAAACAAAATTTACGATAAAATAATTACGATAAATTATTTTGCAGACAAACAAGGAAACATACATTAATTTAAATGTTCTCAGAACGACTAAAAAATCTGGCCGGTTTTTCGCACCCGCTTGCGATCGCACCCGCTTCCCGACCAAGCCTGTGAGTACAAACAGATTTGAAGGACTTATTTTCTTTAAATTCAACTTTATTGTAACCATTGAAAATTTTAAACAATTGAAATGTCACCACATTGTCTTCTTTTAACTAGTGATGGACATTCTAAGACAAACTAGTCAATCTTCATAGCATAATTTATTGATTGAAGGTACCAATTTAGGGGCACGACGCTGTATTCTTTCCAAAATCACAATATCTCATTTTCGAGATATTGTGATTTTGGAAAGCGGAGCAATTTAAACTTGGTGGTAAATTTTGCAATTTATGCTTGACAGAAAAATACCGCAATATTACATCACCATTAAATTTGCTTAACAAAGGAACCGAACTTGCGTCAAAATGCCACCATGAGAATAAATTTCTAATAAAGAACTTTAATGTCATCAAAGCAGACACTCCATAACATTTTTTGTATATAATTTTGTTACTTTTTTGTTGTTGTTACATCTGATGATTGCTATTGCGTGAAACTTTAAGTTATGTTATTGAAATATATATATATATATATATATATATATATATATATATATATATATATATATATATATATATATATATATATATATATATATATATATATATATATATATATATATGCATACAGGTAGTCCAAAAAATCCTCTTCACAAGACATCAAGTTATCCTGACATGCCTTGGGTTTTGCTAGATTCACTGGAAACTGTAGTATATAGAATTTATGCAGTAGGAGAAAATGCTATGGGCAAAGGTAACAAAAGTAACGATACATATGGACATCCAAGTGATCCAGATGCATTACCTATGAAATATTTTCACCCTGTTCCATTTTATAAAGAGTTATGGTTTATAGTGCTTGTCATTGTGCTGATAATCCTCATTCTTGTTTGTATTATCTTGTGTTGTGTACTTTGTAATGGTGGAGGCAAATATCCAGGTAAAAAAAGAATTAATTTTTGTTTGTATATTTAAAATACAAAATCTAGAGAAATTTTATATCACAATAAGGTTAATTAAGGTTAATTTTTGCAATAAATTTATTTAAATATATTTGAATTGATGTTATTTATTTTTATGTTCTTAAAGTTATAATTTTTCTAAATAAAGTTTACTTTCCACAAGCAGCAATTATGTTGTGAGCTGTTGAGCATCAATTATGTTGTGAGATTTATTGAGCATGATGTGTTAGACAAAAAGGAAAGCAAAAAAAAAACTTTTTGTTTTTAACCTCTAACCACTGTCCTTTAACCACTTTTTATTTTTGATCTTTAAACACTTTTTATATTTAAACTCAAACCGCTTTTTATTTTTGACCTATAACCACCTTTTATTTTTGACCACTAACTAATTTATTCAATAAATAAGGATTTTATGCAATCTCATTTTGGAGGGGGATGTATTTTTATTTTTGACCTGTAACCACTTTGTTCTATAAAATGAGTAGAAATATCTCATTTTGAAGGGGAATGTAAATTTTATTTTTAACCTTTGAACACATTATTTTATAAATAAGGATGTTATACCATCTCATTGTGGAAAGGGGTGTAGTTTTTAATTTTGATCTCTAACCACTTTATTCAATAAATGAGGATGTTATAGCATATGATTTTGGAAAGAGATGTAATTCGTACATAAGCAATAAAATGTTTGTTTATGAAGTTTAAAGTCTGTTTATAAGTGTAGAGTGTCTCTATATCTAAAAGTTGCTAATTTTATACAGCAACAAATTAAAGCAAATTTGATGCAGCAAATATGAAGTTAAAATTTGCATCAATTTTAAAAATTTGTTGGAATTAGTGTTGGAAGTGTATTTTTAAACTTTTTAAGTTTTTTCTTATAAACATATAAAATATTTTAAAGTGCTATGATGATCTAAAACGATTACTAGCCATAATTTTACATTTAACTTTAAAAATCATAATAAGGAAACAAAAATATTTTCTTCAGTGGCTTAATCTGTGCACCTTAAATAATTAGTTGAAAGCATATTATGAAAATGAAGTTCTAATGAGAAGGTTTAAAGCATATCTGAGTAATATAATAAAGAGTTGTTCTCACAACATATAAGTGGAAGGAGGTAACAAGTGGAATGCCACAGGGCTCAGTGTTGGGGCCATCCAATGTTTTGGATGGGGCCACGCTGCTGTTTGTTATATATTGATGATATTCCATAAAAAATAAAAAAATTGCTATAAATTGTTTGGCAATAATATGCAAATTTTTGGTGATTTCAAATAACAATGATAACTGTATTGCAGAAGGATTTATTAAACCTTAGTAAATCGAGTGAAAAATTGTTATTACACTGGTTGATTATAATATCTACAAAGAAAAATGTAAAATTATGCACATATAACAAAAATCCACTCTATATTTACAATATGGTTCAACTAACATGCAATAAAAATTATTATACATAAAAATTATACCTTAAAAATCATTATATGCTAAAAGTCTTTGGAACAAGATTTAGGTGTCCTAATATATAATGGTTACAAAACCATATAAATATGATTGCAGGAAAAGCAAACATAATATTAAGTCAAATAAAGCATTGCTTTAAATACATAGATAAAAACTTAATGAGATTGCTGTATTGTTATTGTTAGTAAAAAACACGTCAATAAATTAGAACAAGAACAACATAAAGCAACAAAAATTTAATGTTTTAAGGTTTTGTGTTTTAAATGTGTTATGAAGAGCTATCAAAATAATTTGGGTTTACATCATTAGAAAAAAGAAGATATAAAGGAGTATAATAAATTATTTTAAAATAAAAAGAGATAATCATAAAGTAAATTGGAGATACCCACCAATAAACAATTTATATCCAAAAATTATAGGTTATAATCAACGGTTGCACAAATAAAATATTTGTATTTCAGAAGCAAGAGCGCATTACTTTACAAATAGAGTTGTAAATAAATGAAACAGTCCAACCAATAAAGTTGTAAATGCTGTTAATGTCAAAAATTTTAAAAATTTGAAGAACATGAGTAATAACAATTTTAATTTTATTTTATTATTACAAATTTTTATTTATATATATATATATTTTTTTGATGTTAAAGTCATGCAGCTACTTTTGCATAACTCCCATATTATCTTATGTTAAGTGAAAAAAAACCTTTTTTTGAAATTTTGACAGGTTCAAATCCCAGTTAGCTTAAGTCGTATTTTAGACGTCTATAAAACGTATTAATACATTTCAATACGTTTTGTAGATGTTTAAAACATGTAATGTGGGATTAATAGCAGTTTAAAGTCTATGCAAATCCCACTAGGGTTTATGAAGATTTCAAACTGCTGTGATGATCTAAAATTCAAAGTTGTGTAGATTTGTATAGTTTTAGTTAAATGTTTTTACTTTAACATCGAAAATAAGATAAAAGACACTTTAATTTAACTAATATCAAAAATAAGACATATGACATAAAATTTATATGGTGAGAAAATTTTTTTTTGTTAGTATTCAAATTACAAAAGTTAAAAAATAAATTAAAAATAAATTAATAAATTAATAAATAAAATAAATATTTGATTAACTTTTTACTATATTCTGTAATTTATACCACACTAACAAAAAGTATTTGATTACTTGGTAATCAAATATTTGGTAATCACTTGATAGATAATTGTGAGTAATTAATATTAGTAAAACAAAAAGTTTTATATATTTAAACTTTGAAGAGATTTTTAAGATGTTTAGTTTTTTAAAAGGAGTACTACATGGACTCCATTAACAGTTTAAAAATATTGAATTAAATAAAAAGAATAGTTCAAATGAATCTCTGAATTAAATCATAATAAATTCTTTTTAAACGAGCTAGAACTTAAGTTTAATCAAATAGATATACAAATAAAAATATGAATTTTATATTAATTACAGTAACTAAAATATATAACTAATAATGTAATTATATTACATTATTAGTTTTTAATATTTTAGCATTGCATAAATTTAATAATTACATTATTTTTATTTAGATCTTCAAGTTTATTACATATGTAGTCTATATGTTGTCAATTTTTAAATTGTTCGCAGTTTTTTCTTTCTATCATTTTAGTTAATAAAAAGGAAAAGCTTAGAGGGGGATGGGACAACGAGCCGCTTAAAGATTACGCTGAAGATCAGATGAAAGAATTCAATGATATGCCGCTTGGGTATTATTTTTTTAGTTACACTCTATAACTATATTTTATTTAATCTATGTCATTTCTTTCATCTAAACTTAGATATTAAGATATGTGGCCAATTAAAAAAAAAAAGCAATTGTTTTTACTCGATAGTTGCTCAGCTTTACGTAAATAAAAATTTGAGCAAATTTGCTTAAATTTTTAGTCACGTTAAGCTGAACAGCTATTCGGCCTTATTTGAGTAAATTGCTCAGCTTTACGTGAAAAAAAATTGAACGATTTTGTTCAAATTTTTATTCACGTAAGGCTGAGCAATTATTCCAAAAGCGCTGTTGCTTATTTTTATTCATCCTGCCTATTTAGTATATTTATACTTTTCAATAAATTTAAATTCTTTTTACAATAATATATTTTTATTACCATCATATTTTTCAATTTACTTTGTTTAATAAATTTTTGCAATAAACTATTGTACTTATAGAATGAATTTGAAGTGAATATTGTTGTACCTGTTATAAGATCTGAACTTGTTATATTCCTACTCGACATGTTTTTTTTATAGAAACACTGAAATCAAACCACCAGCCCGACGTACTAGTGAGAATTCTATATCTAAAAAAGCCTTATATAGTGACGATGATAAAGATAGCTTAGACGATTATGCTGAAGACTCGAGATTTGAAGAAGATGGTTCGTTTATTGGACAGTATGGTGACGATAAAAAAAATGGAAACGCAGTTAAGGTTTGAATATCATTAATAATGATTAATGTTAAAAGCAAACATGAGATGATTTGCATTTAAATCATCGAGTTTTCTGCTTTAGTGAGATAACCTTTTTAAAAGAATTTTTATTTAAAACTAAATTTCGTCATGAGCGTGATTGCATGGAAAATGAAACAATTTTCATTATTTTAACCAAAACGGAAATAGTTCATTTCGATATTAATTGCTTTTATATTGCTATATTAACAAAGAATCGTTATTTCCAGTATTTATTGTACATATATTATGCTTATTTTATCTATATTGTGATTATTAATACCAATTAATGATAAATCCGATGCATATGTTTAACGTGTACACGTGTTTAACGTGGATTTGTAGAAGCTTAGAAGTTTCTCATGACAGCGAAATCAGTTTAAGTAATTAAAATATTTAAAAATATTTTTTTATTAAACCAAATGAGTTCAAAAACTATTTTTAAACATAAGCTACAAAAATATTATTTTTGAATCTTTAAATGGTACCTAGTTCACTAAGTACATAATTGACTGCTTACCCTTGTGTTTTTACAAAATTACTTTCTGATTTTTTTTTTCTTTTTTTTTTCTTTTTGCTATTTCGACGTTAGTTTATATTTAAAATGAGAAAATTGAATTTTGATAAAATTAGGACTGCTAAACCAAATATTATAGTTGTTTAAATCAGAGATTTCTAACGTTTATAGTTGTTAAAATCTGAGATGCTAACCTTTATAATTGTTAAATCAAAAACGGTCCAACCTATTTACATTAAGGACCTCGATATTCGATATATTCGAAAGACCTCATATGAAGGCCACAAATATAAATTCAAAAAAAAATTAAGTTTTTAAAGTTTGAAAATTTAAACTTTAAAATAGTATTATAAAAGTACTAAAAAATTTGCGTGCCCCTGGTTGGATAACTCTGGTTCAAATAACTGAATATTATATTTTATAGATGACATAAAACAGTTTTATATTCAAAATATTAAAAAACGTGGAAATAGACAAGTAAGGAAGTGAAGAAAATATTTGTTTTTTAATTTCTATAGAGTGTTTTTAAGGATAATCTATTGAAAAAATGATATCAATTGCTATAACAAAATGTCGTGCTATTGTTTGAACTGTTTTTTGTTTTTTTACATATTGTATTTATTTTAAAGGTTGTTTATATATTTTATTGAAATAAATTATGTTTTTAAATTTTTCTTTTAATGAAGTTTAAAAGAGCATTTTTGTTTTTTGATTTCTCTGACAACGTTTATTTTAACCAATTGACTTTAAAATGGTTCCAACTTATAGTGACACAATAGTTTGTGCTTTTTATTTTAATATTTTTTTGGTAATATTACTTTGGTAGTTATTGTCAATACAAGATTTTCCCAATTATTTGAAGCAAAAGGGCAGATATTAAAGAGTGGATAAAAATTGTTTATAGGTTTCGAACTGTGCCTAATTTCATTCTATTATTGATTCATGCTAGATTCTGAAGTGCGCTTTTTATTAAAATACTTGTATCAAGATAATCTTGAGATTTACTTACTCTGAATAATAAATTAATTTTTGCTTTATATTTTTATAAATAAAATCACTAGACTGCTCACAGTGACAAATCCTTTTTTTGGAAGTAAAATTGTCACAAGTAGTGGCAGTTCCAGGTCGTTGCTCTAGGGAAAGGAGTTGTTCAAATAAACATCCAACTTGACGTAAAAATTGTTTACTTGTGTAAATTGTTTTTAACTTCCAATAGGTAGCATTTAGCATTTTAAAGTATTTTGATTTTTTTTTTGCGATCAACAAAGTTTTATGCTTAGCTAGTATTGTACAACTAATATTGCGCGAGTAGTGTTTAATCAAGATCAAAACTTTTGCCAAAAGTATTCAAATTTTATTTGAACAGAACTGTAACCAAAACACTGTGAACCACGATAACCGTCAGGTTTGAAATCTCCCTACATCAGATTTTATTTTATACTTAAGGTGGTACTTGGGTGAAAAATCTAAATTATTTCTTACTATTTAAATTTGATATTTTGGTACAACAATTGTATACAGGTAACTATGCCTTTTTTTAAAAAAAAAAAGAAAAAAAATTACAGAAGGGGTCCAAAGGTCTCAAAATGGTCATTTTGCGGTGCGTCAATTTCATAAGAAACCACCTGTAGAATGATAACAAAATTTTTACAGTTTGTTTATAGTATAATTTTACAGGTATGGAAGCAAAATTAGCCTGGTTACATAACTAGATCTAAGGTAAATAAAATTCAAATACCTTGCTTAAAAATAAAACTTTGGGCTTGGGTAACTTTGGACCAAAAAATATTTTTTTTTTAAATGTTGGTTCTAAACCTGTATCTTATAAAAAATAACCACCATATAAAATTTCAAGAGTAAAGCTCAAATCAATCAAAAGTTATATGACGCGCCGTTCAAAAAATTGAATTTTAAGATAAATGCAATTTAAGTAATAATATACTAAAATATTACTGAATTTCTTTTAAAGATTCAAAAAAAAGAGGAGATTTTCATGATTGATCACCGTAAATTTTTTTTTTTTTTTTTTTTTTTTTATTCATATATTTGCCGTACATATAACATTTACAAGTTTCGTAAATTAATATTTACAAGTCTCGTGAGTCAAAATATATATAGTGAAATTTATAATTAAATAGTACAGGCCGGACTTCAAGAAGATCGTAATGATCTTATCACGAAGCCCTTACAATGTGTTTGATATATTATTATGATTATGTTAAATATAATTATATATTAAGTACAACTATGTTTATATATTCTTTAAATTTAGCTCATAATAAAAAATAAACTCAAAATAAGCTCAGTATAAAATATTAGACATAACTAGCAGCATAATAACTAAACTTGACAAGAAAAAATCAAGTGTTTTTTTTGTGTGTAATAAACACATTTTGATATATTGTTTGAGAAATTTGAGAAAAAAAAAAAGATTCATTTAGATAATACACATAAACGAGTCAGTTCACTTTGTAGTTGATATATATGTATTTTAATTTATAGTCTTAAAAGAATTCTGAGTATCTGTTTAGATTCAGTATCAGATTTTTTAACTTTTTTTTCAAGAAATTTTGATTGCAAATTGAATCTAGATTGCAGATTGATTTATTTTTAGTTACTAGTTTGTTGTATAAATAAGGACCCCGATATGAAATTGAGAACTGGGAAAGTTTTGTTTTTTTGAAAGGTGTAATAAAGTTTTCTTTTTCTCTTGTGTTATATTTATTAACGTTATTTATAAAAAAGTTATTTAAAAAATGGTTTGGTACTTGACCTAATTTAAATTTTAGCATAAACAATATATTTTGGTAAATATTAATTTGATAAATATTAAGCACATTCATTTCTTTAAATAAGGGTTCAGTGTGTGTAAATTTGTCTTTATGGTAGATAAGTCTAACAGCATGTTTCTGACGTCGATATAAAGTTTTCAATTTGGTTATATGCGTACTCGCCCAAGCTATATTCGCATATATGAGGTAGCTGTGTATAAAAGAGAAATATATAAGTTTTAAATTACTTTGCGACAGCATAGGTTTTGCTTTATAAAGTAGACCTATGTTTTTTGATATTTTAGTGTTTAAAGCATGTGACTTTTCCAAGATAAATTTTCATCAATTATAACTCCTAAAAATTTAGTTTCGTGAGTTCTCTCAATTACTATATTTTCTATTTTTAGAGAGGGTAGAATATTTGGTAGTGTGTTTCTTTGTTGGTTTGAGTGAAATAAAGTGTATTTTGTTTTTTCTATGTTTAGCGATAACTTATTTGTTTTAAACCATATATTTAATTTTTGGAGTTCTATGTTTACATTATCATACAGATCCTTGATGTTTGTCGAAGAGTAAAATAAATTTGTATCGTCTGCAAACATTATAAATTCAAGTTTGCTAGAAACTTTTGGAAGGTCGTTTATATAGATTAGGAACAAAAGAGGAGCAAGAATCGAGCCTTGAGGAACACCACAAGTTAATTTTAATAATTTACTGTGGTAATTATCATCTGTAATAAGACATTGTTGTCTGTTATACAGGTAACTTTTAAACCACTGCAGTGTATGGTTTTTTAATCCGTATTTTTCCAACTTTTTTAGTAGGATTTCATGATTTATTGTGTCGAACGCTTTTGACAAGTCTACAAAGACTCCTAATACGAACTTCTTTTCATAGATTGATTCACTAATTCTATTGACGAGGTCTACGATAGCATGCTCTGTCGAGTGCTGAGTTTGAAAACCATATTGGTTTTCATTCAGGATTTTGTTTGTGGTTAGGTATTTATATAAACGATTGTAGATTATTCGTTCGAGCAGTTTTGAAAATACGGGAAGGATTGATATTGGTCTGTAATTATTTAAGAAAGATGTATCTCCGGATTTATAGATAGGAATAATTTTAGCTATTTTTAAATAGTCGGGTACAATTCCTGTAATTATTGAAGAGTTAAATATTTGAAAAATGGGTTTACTTATTTCTGGGAAGACATTCAAAATAATATTGGCTGGGATATTGTCGATACCTGGACCTTTGTTAATTTTTAATGTTTTAATTGCTGTTTCAAGTTCTTCGTATTCTAGTTCTTTAAAAACTAGGGAGCAACGAGAGTCCTCGATGTAATTCTCAAATGAATTGTTTGTAGGTTGAATTTTAGAGGCGAGTTTGGAACCTATACTTGCAAAGTATTTGTTAAATTTTTCAGAGATAATTTTTTTATTATTAAACTCTTTTTCACTTATGAGAACTTTTGGAGGTAGTTGGTTCGAGTTTTTTTTATCTTTACCAATTATTTCTTTTATAATATCCCAGATTTTTTTATTATCTCCTTTAAATTTTTGTATTTGCTTTGAAAAATATAGTTTTTTGGATTTTAATTTTATTTTTTCAAATAGATTTTTATATTGTTTATACTTAAATTAAAATGGTTTCTATTTTTTAGATATTTTATGTAGAGTTTTTGTTTTTGTTTTGACGATTTTCTTATTCCTTGGGTAATCCATGGAGTGGTTAGGTATTTTGCTTTAATTTCTTTTTCGACCTTTGGAAAATGTTTATTGTAGAGATTTAGGAAAATATTTATAAAATTATTGTAAGCGGAATTTGTGTGTCCGAGGTTACATTCATGATATATTTTTGACCAATTTACTACCGCTAGTGAGTCTTTTAGTTTTTGGGTCGAGAATTTATTTATGCTTCTTTTGATGATTTTTATTTTCAAGTTATTGACACGTGTTGCTTGTTGTGATAGT